ATTCTTTTTATTAGGTTTTAGCATCAAAATACAAAATGTGCAAAAATATATGAACAAGATATGTAGACTTTTTTCTATAACAGAACCGAACATAGGTCGTACAGTACACATGGATAAGCCTTCCCAAATAAAATCCAGAGGAACAAGATTAATAGTGAGAGAAAAAAAAAAAAGGGGGTGGGGGGGGAAGGATTTAAGAAAAAAGTGCACTAATGGGTATTAATGACAGAATAAATAATTTAATAAATAATATGATAATGTAAATAGAAAGGTCAGGCAAAAGCAAAATTTAGTTGGGCACCATACGGGACGGCAATGTCTGAATAAAATCAAAAAACGGTTGCCAAATCTTTAAAAATGTAGTTGTGGAACCTCGTAGGGTAAATTTAATCTTATCAAGTTTACTAAAGTGTAAAGCATCTTTAATCCAGATTTCAAATGAGGGAGGTAAAGCTGATTTCCAGCACAGCAATATTCTACGCCTCGCCAACAAAGTGAGAAATGAAACCAGATCAGCCTTAAGTCTTGACAAAGAAACCGTCTCAGAAAGTACACCAAACAATGCAGTTAGGGGATCAGGCTGGATGGACATATGAGCTACTTCAGACAAGGCTGCAAAAATGTTTGTCCAATATTGCTTTAGTGATGGGCATGACCAAAACATATGGATCAGTGAGGCAGGATGGCAACGATCGCACTCCGGGCTAACGTTTGGGTATATTTTAGAAAGCCTGGCCTTAGTCCAGTGAGTGCGATGCAGGACCCTACACTGAATTAGTCCACGTCTGACACACAGTGACGAACCATGTACACGGTAAAGAATTCTATCCCACAAGTCATCTGGAAACAGAAAACCCAAGTCCTCTTCCCATGCCGTAAAGGAACATTTTCTACAGTTCTGGATGATAACTTCCTAAGACTTAAATTTCTAAGTTGTATAACTAATAAGGGTGTGCAAAATAATCGTCATGACGATGCATTGCGATTCTAATTTTAATAGATTCTTGAAGGCAAGAATCAATTATAAAAAAAGAAAAAAAAAAAAAGAACAAATAAAATACATGATTGGTTGTCGCACATCAGCCAAATCAAGTGGAATACAACTTCCAGTCCAGCAGATGTCGCTGCGGTTGTCTTGACGCCTGCTGCCTTGTGTCACCAGTGAGGCCATGTAAACGGCACTGATTATCCTTATTTTGTTATTTTAAGTTTTATGAATCCTAAGATCTTTTTGTCAGTGT